TTTGTTTGGGGGGTTTAGGGTTTAGGCTTGAGGGTTTAGGGTTGTTCGGGTATTGAGGTTGTCGGAAGAGGAGGTCTGGGGAGTAACATTTCCTTGTCTAGGTTAACATCCTGGGCCCTGATAGCCCAAAGATCCCTGACAGAGTCAAGGTGGGTTTGCTGTCAAACCCGTACCCTAGGATTTGGAGGGAGATTCTGTAACCCTGGACACCTCGATCTTTATGCCGTACAAACGCTATCGGATACTGTGTGCAACCTGCAACTCTACATGCAAGTTAGGTACAAGGCCACCGGTTGATCCAAGTGCAACCCACCCTAAAACCTCACCGAAATCCTCACTCAAGCCTAAACCATAGACCGAGGCAAACCCTAAACCCTAAACAAACCTCTAAACTCTAAACCTTCTAGATCCCTGGGGAACCTTTTGTACATCCTTTTGAAGGAATGCTACACCCTAAACCCCTAAACTCCAAACCTTGTAGATCCCTTATAGAACCTGCATAGACCCTTTTACAAGAACCTTAAACCCCAAACCCCCAAACCCGAGACCTTGAAGTGACCCTTTAAGAGCCCTTGTAGACCCCGTTAAAGGAACCCCAAACCCCAACACCCCCAAACGGGGCGAGCTACTTTCGCCGCTGTTTCCGAGGGCTTCTGGCACCTTTCCATGAGTCGATGGGGTTCTTGGCTCAGGGTTTAGGGCGTACAGGGTTCAGCGCATATAGGGTTGAGGGTTTCATAGGGTTTAGGGCTTATAGGGCGTACTTAGGGCTTATAGGGTTCAGGGCTTATAGGGTTTAGGGCTTATCAGGTTTAGGGCTTATAGGGTTCAGGGTTTCTAGGGTTTAGGGCTTAGGGGTTGGGGGGCTTGGTTTTGGGTGCGCCCTACATGCCCTCGATCGATTGGGCGTCTGGGCTGAATGGCAGAATGGCATAACATGGCTAGCTTTCGTCATGCCGTGGGAGAGGTGGGGCTTTTGAAAGACATCCGGCGAGATCGGAGTAGTGTGTGCGATGCAAACCCCCTTCTATTTATTAAGGCCCCTACATTACACATAGAACCCTTTTAGGAACCCTTTAAAGGAAGCCCAAAACCCTATTCTAATTATTAAGGCCCCTACATTTGCGTCTTTCGCATTTGTGGTGGAAGTTGGGAGTCGCTGTCTCGGAGCCCTGAACTTGTCCACGACTTGGCCTTGATGGTAGCCATGGTTTGAGGAGCAAGAAAAAAGGGTTTTGGGGTTCCTTTAGAGGGTTCCTTAAAGGGGGCTACTATAAGGGTTTAAGGGTATGGGGGCCTCAATAATCAGAACAGGAACCCCCAAAATAGTATAGGTAATTTTTCTAGGTTCCCAGATTATCCTGGCCTGTGTGTGTGTGGGTTCAGGACCTATCCAGCTTGATGAGATGTCGAGTCATGGAAGCTTAAATCAGGCCACTGTCCAGATTTCCTTTTTACAAGGAAGCTACTGGGGTCCATGCATCGTAGTTCCTTTTTGTGGCTTATATTTAGGATCCTATTAGGTAATCCCAAAAAGGAACTACTACGGGGCCTATGGGTAGTCGCAAAAAGCGGGTTGCAATAAGAAGTCCAGGGCATGACCATGATGTTCCCCTTGTAGCAGCCTTGAGATCCAGCAACCAGTGAGGGATAAACCAAAACCTCAACAGTTGGGGTTTAGGGTTTAGAGCTGGGTTTGATGGGTTCAGGGTTTAAAATGCACATACAGTATATACAAACCTAGCCGCGAACTTGCAAAAGCAAGCCTTGGTTCACCCAGCATTGGCGGCACCTTGCGCAGGTAGTCCAAATCGACGCAAAGCTGCACAACCCCAGCTGGGGTCAGCTGCTTTATCTGCAGAACCTGCCGAAGTGACTTGCTCAGCACAGTGGAAAGAACACACAGCCTCACAATCCTAAACCCTAAATACTGAACCCGTACGAGCGAAGCCCCGAGCTGCTTCGTTCCGTGGACAGAAGATAACCGGAACCCGGAGAAGGGCACTTTTGAGGAGGCCGGGTTTTTTAGAATTGGCGGAAAGCATCCTATGCCCTTGGTAACCTGCAAGCCTGACACCCATAGCCACGCATGCCTCCCGGAAGATCGAACAAACAAAGTGACCGCACAATCCAATCTTGTCAAAAAGATTTGCTTAGCACATCCAGTAAACTTGCGATTTCCAATCTCGTGACCTTCCTAAACCCCACGACAAAACCTACCCAACTATAGATACTAGCGGCCTAATAGAAGCCTGATGCAACCGTCTGCAACAATCTGCCAGGAACTACAGATGGAAACGTCGGCCAGTGCGCCTTTTTGTCACTGCTCTGAACTAAGCCTTAGAATCTCCAGCATGTCCCGCGACCTCAGTAAACATGCGATCTTTCTCTCGGCATTTTTCCTATATCGGCACAGCATAAGATACCTTCGAACGTAAAACCTTCCTAGATACCCAACAAAACAAAAGCACAACTCTAGACCTTTGTGACTGGACTCTACGAAAAGCTCTTCTACCCAGCCTTCTGCACCACCACTTCCACCGCAGCCTCGAGGACAGCCGGTAGCCATTGTAGCTGGGAGCTCTCCTGGCCGAGTCGCCAAGTGAATGCCATGGGGGGATTCGGTGTGCCTGGTCTTGTTCAGGTTGGCGAGACCGGGTGCTTCTTCGGACTGTTAGGGGTAGTTGAACGAGGGGTTCTTCCAATTCTAACGAAGTCCATGTCTGTCCACAAGCTCGGCCGGCTTATGGAGGCTGGGCATGTTGAGGGTTTGCCTAACTACAGCACTCTACCATACGCCTCGGCTACCCTTGGCATAGTGTAGGGCTGAAGCTTTGCGGGATCGCTGGGCAGCAAGCCGAAACCAAGATCCAAAGAATCACGGAGCAACTGGGTTTGAAACTGAAAAGCGTCAGACCATGGAACTTTCAACCAACATAAACACAAATAGCAAGACGCAAGACTGGAACAACTCACACCCTAAAACCATAAACCCTGAAACCTTCGATGCCTGGAACTCCTGAACCCTAAATCCCTAGGCCCTAAGCCACACAGTGTCCTGTGATTTTTCGAGCTGCGGTATGAGCGAGAACAAATGCTCTGGGACCTGAGATCGTGGTTCTGTAAGACTTCTGGAAGGATTAAGGGATCTATTGGGGTACTCCGGGAGGCCAAACATAATCTCTTTATCTCTTTAATATATCGAAGAGAGGCCTACATCTAACTACATATCTACGTATATATATATATATATTAATTAATTATATATATATATACACACAGCACGTGCACTTTGCCAACCTCAACCTGCACGAAGCTATGATGCAAGCCGTAGTATGCAGGCGTTACAGTACGTCTTATTGGCAGATCTGCTTCTTGGCCTTCAGAACGACCCATGTTTCACTTCTTCAGACTCAGACCTTCAATCCTGAAGCTGAGTGCTGCTTTCCATAAGCCCTGTTCCCATACCCTTCGAGTCTTAACCTAAAAAAATCGGACACCTTCCGTGCATCCTCAAAACACGCTACCATGCGAGCTGAGAGTGGGCTTTTGGGTTGTAGCATCACATACTTGTATTGGAACTTGACTTGGAGTAGAATGTGGAGGTCGGAAAACGGATAATCATATTCCTATATAGTCTGGGGTTTAGGTTTTAGGGCATCGGTGTACGTTTCGAATATAAATATAGCCCTCCCCAATCTACTCAAATTGCTAAGAGCCCTGGATATTAGTCTTGCGGATATGGCTCCAAGCCCGGCAACCTCAGCTCAGTCTATTTACTATAATTATCAGGACCTGAACAATTAGGATCGGGTTTGGAGTACGTCATACTATATGGCACATTCAGAAGCTCAAGGAGCAGGTTTAGTATTAGCAACGATTCCGACTTAACCGGAGAATGAACTATTTTGGTACAAGCAATCTTCAAACTACAACTGTGAACTACTTAATGCCTTGAGAAACCCGAACACACATCCGAGAATCCTCGCACCACAAATGAATCACACAGCTAGTGTAGGGGCCTTAGCAAGTCGAATTAGGCAACGGAGTATATCATACTACACTAATGCATAGGATTCCTTAAAATCGGACCGGCTTCTATATCAAGTCTTCTCCGATCCGAGGTTTGGACCAGCGTAATGCATTGCAAAGGTCCGTGTGACACCTGCATAGGGTTTGGGAGCTTGCAGCAAGCGCTGCGGCCCGGAACCCTAATGCTGACTAAACAGAGAATGCCTTGGGGGACACCAAACTATTGCTGATCATCCCGCCCCTCTATTGAACCCTGAGTTCGAAACCGATTCGAGCTTGAAAAGACTTCGGTGCTGGACGTCTGGTTTGTTGCTAGAGGTTCCTTTTCTGCACATGAAAGGGAAGCTGGGAGGCCTGTGTCGGCCTTCTCCCTGAACATCAAGCCCAAGCCTTATAACCCTATATCCTTGCACCCAAAAACCTAACAATGTACCTCAAGAGATTACGGCTCAAGGCTCCGACACCCTGAAGCTCTCATGCCCGAACCAACCTTTAGCCCCTGGATCTTCCAAGACCAAGGCACACAAAGCTGCACTCTCTGGACGAGGCTGCAGCTAAAGGGCCAGTGGTAACGTCATAGAGACTCACGCAGTTCGTGCTCTGCGGGATTATAGGCTATATATATATATATACACACCCAGTGCAGTTCCTTTTTGGGTCTGTTATGGTTTTTTGGTAAGGAATTATAGTACAATATCCCAAAAGGAACTACATAGGAGCCCTTGGGTAGGCTATAGAGTGCTATAAACTAATGTCGGCTGCGGGTGTCTCTTACAAATTCAACAGCCTTCAGGAGGTCCGTGAGTGGGATCATGACGGGCTCAAACTCTCGCAGCGACAGACTTTGCGGCAGACTTGCCGCGAAGCTGTCAGAGTACCATAGTCTCTAAATCCTATAGACTGATGAAACCTTCCCTCTAAACCCTACACCCTAAATCCCTCTTAACCCTAAACCCTACACCCTAAATCCCTCTAAACCCTAAAGCCTAAATCCCTCTAAACCCTAAACCCTCAATCCCTCTAAACCCTAATCTCAAACTCTACCACCGGACCCAACCCTAAACCCTAAACCCAAACCCTACCCTAAACCCTACACCCTTAAATCCCTCTAAGTCCTAAACTCTACCACCCCTCAGAACAAAGCACCCAGACACTCCAATACCCCTTAATTAAGGAATATACCTTAAATCTTATTGGGGATCCTACTATAATTTCAGGTATATTCCTTAATTAAGGGGTATTGGAGTCTCTGGGCACCCAATCGCCAAGACCTGCCAGCACCTCGTCGCCTGGTCCCTCTCGCGACCACTCCTCCAAGGCGACAGCTAAGGCTTAGGGGTTTAGGGTTCCTTTAACAGGGAGTCTATACAGGTTCAAGGGATCCAGAAGGTTTGGGGCTTAGGGTTTAGGAAGTCTGGGGCTTTAGGTTCGGATCTGGGTTTGCCCAGAGTTTTGGCGGGGTTCAGGGCCCCCGGACAAGCTGTATAGACACATTCAGCCCCATGACATAAACCCTTTGTCCCTAAAGACTAAGCCCTAAGACCAAATTTTGCCTGAACCCCAAACCCTGGGACCAACGACAGCGCCCCCCCTCACCTATCGTCCCCCCCTCACCCTGCCTGCATCTCGGGATAGCCCCGGAGGATGTTGGAGACGGGCTCAGCGCAGCAGCGCGTCACCACCCCGCGGACCTGGTCGTACTATTAGTGGCCTTATAATAATCAGAATAGGATTTCTGTTAGGCTTCTTTACAAGGCTCTATCAAGGCTCTACAAGAGCTTCCCTCAGGCTTCTGCAAAGCGTACTAGACGGGATCTAAGGTTAAAGGGCTGAGGGCTTCAGGATTTGAACAGAGTACCATAGTAACGGTAGTATACATATACATATATATATATATATATATATGTATACATACATATACATATAAATATACAT